CCCCAAAACCCCAAAACCCCAAAACCCCAGATTAGTCGGGCTCTATTGAAGCTCATGAATCAACAAATTATATTGATATGAATAAATTATGTAGCATTACTGAAAGGAGAAACTCCTTTCAGTATTCTTTCTCTATCCATGCAAGTATTAGATTATAGAATGCCTGAGCTAGCATTGGTATCTATGAAACGCGAATATCTGTCAAGGATTTGTTCTCTTCTCCCTTTTGGATGGTCCGTTAGGCAAGTTCTAAGAATTTAGCATAAAAAGTACCTCAGAGTTAGCTTAATGTCATTGCTGGCAGAGTCTGCGCTTGTAGGGAGAAGCGGTGAATCATTTGGCTCACTTCCATCTTTGACATCGAATTTTATATTAGGCTTTCTGGGACTTCTGATTATTTCTCTCAATTTTCTGAGTTTATTTATCAAGTATCTTATTTTGGAGATTTTGCTGAAATATTCTCATTCTTTTCTTCCTTTTTGTAAATCCAAGAGATGCATATGACTTGAAAAGTTGTATGTAGGATTTCTTTTGAGTAATAAAAGGTCGAGAAATCTTCTCTTGCGCTTCTGGAGATACTTTGTTCAAGTTAGGGATGGTCAGGTCTTTCTCAGTCTATAAAAAATTGGTCATGATTTATTTCCTTAAAATTCTCACAAGGCAGTACAGGCAAGGATCGAAACACAGTAGAATCTATCTATGTCTTATGACACTAATTCTGTTTGTAAAACACTCCAAACCATCCTCTAAAGCTGCTATATCTTAATCTAGCCTTTTTGATTCATTAATAAGGGTTTATAAGTTTCTTTAAAACATTTTTGGGTGAATAAATTCATAAATTCTCCGTCCAGGAATTCATCAATTTTTCTACTATCAAAACATGGAGTCTATGGCTCTGATTTTATTTCTTTCCTTCTTGGAGGAGCTCCACCACTGATTAAGAGAGGAAAAGTATCAGGAATAAGAAATGAAGTAGCGTGGCTGGTTAAAATTGCCTAAGATTCTGAACAACAATCATGGTTTATAGAAGGACAGGTAAAATCTCCAGTAACCAAATATTTTGGATATTTGGTAAACTGTTAATTTCATACGTGTTTAAGTCAGTACCGATGAAGGAAAGTTAAAATAGGAATCACTCAGTGTTAGCCACCTCCTTAGTCCTTTACATCGTTACTTAGCATAGAAAGACTAGATAACAGACGACTAGGTTCATAATGTTTTTATTAACAAGCGTATAATAGAACCATGAAAAGGCTATGATAAGCACAGCCATAATGACTATGAAGTTTCTTGCTTACAAATAAAGACAAGAGGATATCTTCTTCCTGCCTTAGGCCCAATAGATTATTAGGTATTATTTCTTAAGGATTGTCAATACGAAATTTTGAAGTTCAGGATCAAGAAATAATTTTTAAATAACTTTTGCCAAAGCCTGCCAAAAGATTGTAGATAGTACCAAAGAGTCTAAGATCATTTGTGTCTAGTCAGAGCATTAAGAGATCTTTAGATCAGTATTTATTGAATTTGGGGAAATCAGATTTTTAACGAATAAGAGTAATTATGTACGTTTTGGAATTTTCAAACCTAATCTATTTTACTCATCGAGCAATTCAAAAACGGAACATTTGGAAAAGAGATGTCCAAAATAGACATACCTGCTCATCGTTGGTTGATAACTTAGTCTGAGAGTGCTGTATTTTCCTCAGTATCTCCTTTCTCTTTAGCGAAGATCTATCCATTAGTAGTAAGCATCAGAATAGGAAGAGGAATCACCCAATTTTGATCAATTAAGGTGAATATTTCCTAACTTACCTCTCGATAAAGTCTTTATTATAACGGTTAATAGGAGAAAAGTATCTACCTTCAGGAGACCTCGCACTGGATTTAGCCAGACTATACGCAAACAATGAGATTTTATACTAATATTTCAAGCAGGATTTGGAATTAACGATTAAAAGTGGGATTCATGAGCTTATTGTAAAAGTTAGGAATTGGACATTTCTGAAATATGGAGAAATTGTGAGCAACCACAAGCTGTAGAATAATATTCATACAATATCTATTAAGACTCACCTTGAGTCCTGATTGGTAATGCTTAATAATTTCTAAATGGTTATTTATTTCAAATACCTTATTTGATCCATCTGCTCGAGGGCTGATATGCCTCTGTAGAATAGGAAAGAAACTGAGGCTTCCAGTCGGTCCTTCATTGTTGATTTCCTGGGTATCCTTTAGGTATTGGAGTTCTTCCTCTAGAGCTTCTTTTCTAACATTGAACTCATCCCTTGTCATGACATATCTAGAAATCTTATCTCGCATTAGATTACTTTTTATTTATATTTTTGCAGTTTCTTTTCTTCAACCAGGTGACAATATCTCCTTCTCGAATTCGGAGGTTACGCTCGCCTTTGATTCATTTGTTCCTATACCAATCATGGAACTCACAATCATAAGGTAATCACAGTAGTGAATACTTTCTACAATACTCCCCATTGGGATCTCTCAAATGTGTTTGGAACTTACTTCCTTGGTTTGACTTTTCTCACAATTCCCTGACTGTCCATTTTCAATTAATTTCTATTATTTTCAGTGAGTATGCTCAAATAGGGGTTTTGGGGTTTTGGGGTTTTGGGGG